GAATTTTTAACAACATACGTATTTCAATATTTGATGGACGGAAATATCTATTCAAATAAATTAATCTTCCAATGTACAATGATGCATTTTTAAATTTCATTGTTCTTTGCAGAAACTGTAGCTTTGCTTGTCAAAAACAGAAAATGTACATTTTACTTTCTCATGTATGGTGTCCGCTACTGAGGGTATTAATAATGCAGATACGCAACAAAATGCTGGAGTGTTTTAAATGGTCCTTCTTTTCTGTGTCACCGTTTTCTTATTGGTGTAGAGCTGCTGCCATGCTCTGCTTCTGCCAACCCTTAATGCATATGTTTTATTTACTTTAAGCAGCACTATTAATTTCAGTGGGACTACTCATGTACTTAAAGTTAAGTGTTTGCATAAGTGTTTACAGGACTGATGCTTCAATTAACAATGGTTACTATGGTGGGCTGAAGTAGGTCTACAGTTCTACATTATCACTAGCTGTTGTGAACATGCAATCACACCAGTGAATAAAAAAAGGAAGCAGAAAGGATGTCTCACTAATCCATGCCTGCATGGCAGTTGTGCTTCACAATATCATTAGCTTTGGTTTATACATAGAACAAATATCCCTGGTCCCATGTGTAGGGTCTATGGAACAATCACTGAATTTATAACCCACTTTGCCTAATCCTGTTCTTTTTTGTTCAACTTCTGTTTATTATGTTATTTTATTATCTACACTCTGAGCAAGTTAGTTAATCTCACTTGCAGAGCCTGAAAAAACAACTTAATTTGTTAATCATTAGTGTTCTTATCAGAATAAAAACAACAGATTATTTTACTAACTGTACCTTCTGTTTGAACTGTTATCCATTGTATCTTGTATGTCTGAATCAAGACTCAGACCCTTGTCCACACTCTGTTGTTAACTTCAATGGGGGTCTGGCCTCTTAAATGCAGGTCTGGGCATTTAACTTGATCATGAAATACCCTGAATGCTTTCTATTAATTTCAGTGGCTGTTATACTTGGGCCAGGAATGCAGGTTCAAGCTTTGGTGTTGGTAAATATACTTTACAGAACTTTGTACTACTAAATAAAATAAGTTCAAGTTTCCCGGCCATAACTTCTTGCTGTTTCTAAAGCGGCATAGCTGGGTTGCCATCAGTGATACTACACCAGTTTATGTCACTGAGACGCCAGCCCAACATATTCTGAATTACCCAGAAATCTGTTTTTAAAAGGGGCACATCTAAAATATAATTAATAAAGTGGTCTGGATATTTAATAAAGGAGAAAATACATGCATACAGATTGATAGTTTGTAAGTATTCTGTATTTTGTCCTTTATTTTAAAAAAATGAATTTTGAAAGGGCTTTCCTAATAACAGGTTTAAAGATTAGGCTCCTCTGAAGTGCAAAGCAGATGACAATGTTTCGAACTGTGGTGGGCCACCTGCAGCCCATCAAGGTTCTATGTGCGGCCTGTGAGTTTAACACTGCCCAGGTGTGGAATTGCCAGATTCCACTGATTTCTGGGCGTGTAGGGGTTTTTTTTTTTTTTTACTGATATTACTAAAATGACATGCACGTAAAACAACGATCCGTGAAGTGAGGGGTGTGCTGATTGCACACAACATTGACTGTGAGAGCTGTGCAGTCCTTCTGCATCCAGTTGAAGCACTGCTATGGTTCAATCGGTGTGCCCCACAATGTTTAGATATGCAAGAGCAATGAGCAAAACTATCCTATCCCAGGAGATTGTCTTGATTCTGAGAACCTTGCATCTCACTGTGCTGAAGGAGGGCCATTCATGAAGCCCACTCATTAATCTAGGTTGCCTTTGCTGGTAGAGAGCAAATCTTACGTGGATTGACTAACTTCATTTTATAGGTGTTTTCCCTGTCCACACTTGAAAACTTTCAAGTTCAAAGATTCCCTAGTGTCAAACCGTAGGGCTTAAGGCTAGAAGAGACTATTCTGATCATCCTGTGAGATGTCCTGCATAACATGTACAGAATAAATTCACCCAGTAGCGCTTTTATTATACCCAACAACAACTGGTTGTGGCACTAGACCATAACTTTCAGAGAGATGCCCAGACATCAAGGGGATAAGAATCCCTGAGGTAACCTCTTTCAATGATTATTACCTTCACTATCAAAAATGTATGTCTTTTTTCTGGTATGAATGTTTTTAGCTGCAACTTCCAGTAACTGAGTCTTGTTATGCTATATTAAAGGGCTCTCTGGCATGTCTCAAGTTTAACAATGGCATTTTAGACCTATGAGAAATTACAGACATGAATCCAATGCTTTAAAACAAAATCATTTGTGCTGTTCAGTCAGTTAAACCCCAGAAACAACGTTTTCAAACATGCCTACCTAAAGTTAGGCTGCTAAATCTGTAATGGGCACCTAGTGACAATGGCCCAATTTTCAACCAAAGTGAGCACCCTCAAATCCCATTGGCACTTCAGGGGCTTTATAAAGAAGCCCTCTTCTAGTCAGGTGCCTAAGCAGAGATGTAGTAGGTTAATTTTCACGTGTGAAAATGCTGGCTCTGCGTCCCTGATTAGTTTATCCAAAGGGTAAGAAATGACTCTCCAGAATGGGATCTAAACAGCTGTTCCCAGTCACCTGATGGCTTCACTCAGCATTATGCTTTCTAAAGACCTGCGGTTCGCTAGCCGAGATCTGGCCCCACGCTCCGTGCTCCCAGGCTCACGCCTACACCTGCAGAGGATCTGTCTCCGCAGAGGACACAAGGGGTCGCACCTCCCACGGCATTGAGCTCCGCGCAAGCGCCTGGAGACGCAGGCAAGGTGCAGAGAGACAGAAAGGCAAAGCCCGGCCCATGGGTGCTGCTCCCCCTTCAACCTCCCCATTTCCCCCCCAAAAACTAGGAGCCTGATCCTCTATGGGACGCCCCCAGGACTCTCCTCCCCCCGCATTTCTCACGCAAGGAGACAGGTGTAGCGGGTGCCTGCGGTCCCCAAGCTCATCAGCAGAGCCCGCCCCACCCCTGCCAGGCCAGGCGATGGGCTCAGGTAGCGTCTGTAGCTCAGGGAGCTCGATGCACGCAGCCTCCCACCCCCTGCGTCCCCAAGCTCATCAGCAGAGCCCGCCCCACCCCTGCCAGGCCAGGCGATGGGCTCAGGTAGCGTCTGTAGCTCAGGGAGCTCGATGCACGCAGCCTCCCACCCACTGCCACAAGGCGGGTGACCCACACAGGAGGCAGGAACGCACCGAGCCAGCGCTCGGGTAGACACAGCCCGTGTGCTAGATGCTGAGGATAGGCCAGATCCCGAGGGTTTCCCTGAGCTAGTCCTGATTTCCATGAGAGCTTGCTGGGGGGTAGAGCCAAGGTCTGGCCCAGGCGGGGCAGCTCCAGCCGTGTATTCTCTGCCCCCCTTCCTCCCGCCTGGACCGAGCTCTCCTTCCACCCTCTTGGCTTGAGGGGCAGAGGGAGGCTGCTTCGGTCTGGGGATTGTGGAGGGCAGGCAGCCTCTCCTATTGGGAGGGTGCCCGCTAGGAGATCCAGGAGTGGGTGGGGCGCTATCAGATCCCGGACCTGGCACTGGCCAAGGAGCACACCTCGGGTACCCGGACTGTTTTCCTTAGCTCGCTCTGCTCCCTCGGCTGGGGGGCTGGGCAGGCGCCAGGTTTCAGGGGGCCGCCGTGCCAAGGCGGAGAAGGGAAAGTTGAGTAAAAGCGAGGAAACCACCCCAGGTGCGGTTCGATCAAATATAGGCGGCCGTTGTGCTCGGACACTTCCCCCACCTCCCCATGTCAGCTGTCAGAAGAGGCAGAAATAAACAACCCGTCTCTCACGCCGTGGCTAGGCAGGGCCGAAGAGAGCTGGGCTGGCTCTACAGGGGATGCCGGGGCAGAAGCGATGGAGAAGGATGGTCCTTTCTAGCCCAGTTGGCTCTCTTCAGGGACACCCTCCTTCCCCATCTCAGGGGAGAGGACTCTGAGCTAACCAGGCACCTGATCCAAAGCTCTGCGCAGTCAATCGAAAGGCTCCCACCGGTTCTGCATCAGATCTCAGCCCCTTTATGGGGTAGACAGCTAAAAAACTACGGGCATCTTCCCTACCCACTGCCCAAACTGTGGACAGCCCCTCCCCCCCAAAAACAGCTGTTTTCTAAGGAGTGTGCTGGTTGTGGGGGGTTCCTGCCGCGTGTCTGGATGCTGAGCTCGGAGAACCCTGCTCCTTTCTGGCCACGCCAAAGGCAGAGCGCAGCTTAAACCCGGACACTGGGAAACAACGCGACGCTGGAAACCCGGCTGCTGGCTCACAGCACTGCAGCCCATCCTGTGCCAGCGCGGTACGCACCTACTCTCTTCAGCGGCGTTTCTCCCGGGGCTTTTCCCAATTCCCCCTCTCCTCCCCCCAATCCCTTCAGGTGCAACTCAGGCTGGATTTGGTGCGGGCTCGGAAAAAGCAGAAATCAACCTTCTTAATGCCAAAGGGCTTCGCAATCGCGCGTTTAACGCTACAGCCGGGGTCCTCTCAGTGGTGCGACCCAGCCTTATCCTCACGCCCGTCAGGTACAAACTCCAGGTGCCTACGTACAAGCACGAGACCCAAATCCCCGGCGCGTCTCCGCAGCCCAGCATCAGCGCCCTCCCGCTGGGCGGGTGATGCTAAAGATGCTAAAGGCAGCCTGGTTAGTCCAGACCCGAGGAGAAAAAAATGCCTTTTTTCCTCATCCCTGAGTGATGCCCGGGGTGGGGTAAGGCGATCGCTCCAGAAAGTTAACTGCCGTTAACTCTGGGCTAATCCGAGTCACCTGTTGTAAGGGAGGCTCCTCGGGGGGGGGGGGCCCCCAACCTTACAGCACCCCCCTTTCCTGCCTTATAAATCGCAATGGTTATTGAGAACTACAGAAAAGTCTCCGCAGCGTTTAACTCCTGTTCCTGACTCTCTCTTTCGCCAGGACAGCGAGGGGTGGGGACACCGGTGGCTACCTGAATAGCAGAGGATAGACTAAGAGTTAGCAGGTATAAATCTCCGCGCACTTACTTCTTCCCTGTCGCCGTACCCGGGATGCTTGCTGGGTCCGGATGTATTCCATCAAGTTCAAAGTGATAAAGAACCAAGAAACCAGTCGCAATTGCATAGTAACCCCGGGAGAGTTCGCCTTTTCTTCGTGTTTGGGGAGGGGTGGGGAGTAACACCGTAGTAGCGATACCTGCACTGAGCTCTCCCCCCGAGATCCAAGGTCCTCCCGTCTCTATTGCACTTCCAAATGGCCCGAACAACGGTCTTCTGCCAATTTCAGAGGGGAGTCACCAAGGGGAAGGCGCCCTGAAGCAGCAGCGAGGGTCCATGCCGTGGAGATGGCAGGCAACATGTTGCAGGGTTCGGGGGAGGGCGGCGTTGAAGGGGGATAAGGGAGGGGGGACCGACTCCTACTCCGTTACAGCGAAGGCTCGCTTCGCTCACATTCAGCACCTCGGCTACAGCCTCCCTGCGCCGGGGAGGTACGGCCCCCCGGTTTCTCCTGGCTGCCACTGAGCCGCCCACGCTTCATGCAGGAGTCTGCCGACGTTCTGGGCAGCAGAAGTGACCCAGGGCACCCAGCAACTTTCGGGCGTGTGTGTGCGTGTGTAGGGTGGGGAGAGAATAAACCTCTCCGATCTCGCCGGATGGAGGCAAGGGTCCCCCTAGGGCTCTCCCCGCGGAGTCTGCACCCGAAGCATCGTCCAGGGCAAGGCGAGCGCACAGGAGAACAAGCGGCAGCAGGCTGGGGGGTGCGAGGGCTGCCCAGCGCTCCCTGGGTTTGGAGGATCTAGGGAGCCTGAGTGGTTTCAGCGTCTCTGGGTTGCGCTGCACCGGGAGGGGAATTCGCGCTGCTTGCAGCCTCCTTCCTGGCAGCACTGGTGGGCTGGCTGCGATCTCTCTGCCTCCCTCTCTCCCCCCTCACCCCGCCCCCCCGGTGGGATTTTTCAAGCCCACATGGAGTGTGCAAAGCGGGCTCCAATAGGCCGCGGGGCAGTCCTAGCGCGGAGCCTCCAATCGCCGCCTGGCTGCTCTGCCTGAGATTAGGGAGAGAGGGAGGGATGCGCCAGCGGGAGCTGGGGGAGGAGTGAGGGGTGGAGGTGTTTGTGTGTGTGTGTGGGGGGGGAGGCTTGTGCCCAGCACCCTCTGGTTAGAAATGCCATTGTGTGTTGCCTCCTTCCCCCGAGCGAGCCTCCGAAGATGCTCCAAAAGGAAGATACCTGGGGGCGAGGGAAGGGGCACTAGAGATGCCACTTGCCCATCTAGACGGAGCGTCTTGCTTTGTCAGTTTCAGGAGGATACCAACCCTAGTGACAAAGCATCCAAGCAGCAGGACCGAAGCAGCCGAGAACTGTACTTCAAGCTATTGTGATCGTGATTCTCTTCCTCTTCCCATCCGATCCAGTTTACGTTGGATTAGATTCCCCCCCCCCCCCCAGAAGACCCTTTAAGGAAGGGACTTGACTCACACATGCAATTCTTCTCCCCTCTTCGATACGAAGAGGTCTTTAGGGTTAGGAAAGGTAACTAGTGAGAGAGAGAGGGTGTGGATACAGTTGTTTGTGTTGTGACCCCTTTAAGAGCCTTTCTTATTCATTTCAAGAGATCTAGTTTGTTTCAACAAAAACAAGGACATTTTAAAGATTAACTCTAAGAAATTCGTCAGTCTAAGTGCCACCAGTCTCTCTGGCTTTTTTTTTTTTTTAAATGATGGTTTTGAGGTTTCGAAGTCCGAGAGAATCACCCTTAGGAAAAGAAGAAGAGTCCCTTGCCACAGACCTTCAGAGTCAAAAATCGCCTGTTAGCTGATTGGTATCACATGGCATTCAAAGCGTGAACCACAGCGCTAAGGCGCTGGGACTGCTAGCTTGAGAAAGAAACCAGAAGCCATGGAACAGGTATGGTTTGATGCAACTTTAGTCAATGGGAGAACATGTTACTCTCCGTTTGCAGACATACGATCATTCCCCTCTAACCATGCCTGTTTGCATCCCGTTTGCCTTTCAATCAGATAGGTTGGGATCATTACTAGATGGCTAAAAGGCCCCAGATTACACGTCTCTTTAGCAGGATAATTCCTATTTTTTACTGCAGGGAATTTTTTGTCCTCTCTGAGGGCTGATGCTTTGAAAATCTGCAACATACCACTCCCTTGCTCGCTTTGCATTTTATCTCCCTGTCGGTCTCGGAAAAGGAGAACCAGTAACAACAACTTGATTAAATCAGGGCTCTGAATAAAGTCCCACTTTTAACTGCTTTTCTCCGTCTGCCTTTGCCTCCTCTCCCGGAGTTGTAAAATATCTGTACCATAAAACGTGGGGGATTTCAAGATCTGTGGGAGGCTCCCTTTGAAAAGGACTCCAGGGAAAGCCTTTCTAATCCAGGATACTTGAGCCGGATGGGGTGAGATTGCCACAGAGACATAAAATAAAAAAGAGCAAGGCAGTGGACGGCCGCGGGGGTACAGAGGCTCACACGAAGAAGGGGCCCTGCGCTTTTTGGTTGCGTGAAACAAGCTTTCGTGTGCGAATCAATTTCAGGAGGAGCCAGACAAGTAAGCAGGGCTGGGCAGCTCTCGGGGAATAACGCGGTCGAGCCAACCTGCAGCACATTTTACAGCCCCGCTCCAGAAGCGCTAGCGCCACCGGGCAGAGAAAGCATGTCAAAAATAAACGAGCCTGGAGGAAACATAAGGAAAACATTAAATAAACAGGAGTGCAGTGCGCTCCCGCTCTCCTCTCACAACGTACTTCAGAGCTTCCTTCTCCAGCGCTTGTCTGCCTCCAGCCAGTTCCCTCCTCGGCCCCACTACACAGATTTCACCAGCATATTTATCCAGCTCCGTTAGTCCCCCGATACTGTACGCGTCACTCAAGAGCATCCCAGGATGGCACCCGGCAGACAAACGCAAGCAGAGACAATCGCATCACGAATTTAGGGCCAACACGAAGGGAGGTTCAGCGGTTCGTTTGGGGGAGCGCGAGGGGTCAGGGGTGAAATGGGAGTCGCGGGGAGCAAGATTTGAGTCTCCGCCCTGGAAAGAGGCTCCTAGTCACTGACCAGCGAGAAAAACTGGGTCTTAACTTGAAATGGGATTTGCAAAGAGCGCCCAGAGTCCAGGAGACAGGCAGGTGGGCAAAGTGTACAGCCCGGTGACCGCTCCAAACCAGCTCCTCTGCCAGACTAATTTTACCCATTGCACCAGGTCTGTGCTCAAACCAGAAGCTCTCTCTGGCTGGGAGAGCAGGCAGGCAGGCAGAGGTGGCAGGAGTTTGTTCCAGAGGGCAAGACTCTACCCTCCTGTCACTCATCATGATGAGCCATCCATGGCAAAGATCATGCGGATACCACCACAAATCCAACATGCAGCGCCTGGGCCCACTGATCTACACAGCAGCACAGGGTGCCCCCAGGAGTCAGAGACGCTGGGGCTGGAGGCACTGAGGCGAATCAAATAAAAAAGCTGCTCTTACTGGGGTCCGAAGAATTCACAGCAGTGAGAGGCTCAGTGGGATGTAATATTTCTTTGGTACGGAAACCAACCAAGGCAGTTCCTGGGGGGTTGGGGGGGGAGAGATATTTGAATTTCTTTAAAAAAATGACTGAGGGTCCATATTGCTTTAGGAAAGTGAAAGATTTCTATGCTTGCTGTGTTATTAATCTACCATTAAAACCAGAAGCAGTAGATTCTAACATCAGCAGTGAGTTGTAGGTTTTGGGGGGGGGGGGTTGTTTGTTTTTTGTTGTTTTTTTTGTTACTGAAAATAAATCTTTTAATCAAAAGAGGAATAGCATCATGGTTTTTCCAATTGCAAATATTACATTTACTTCAGATGTTTCGGTTGTTATAAAACACGTTTGCATTTTAGACTTACTTCTGGATTTTAGGCAGTATTGGCATGCTTAGATTTTCAAATATCTTGGAATAAAAAAGAGCCATTTTCAAGATTTTCAGATTACATCCAACATAAGAATTTTAAATCTTGATGTTCTTCTTAAATCCATTACTAGTTGATATCTTGCATTTAAAATATTTTGGTCAAAATCTATCCACTTGAACAAGAGTGGCTGAAATTGGACCCTTTGTCATTTCTCACCACATTGCAAACAGTGTGCGAAAAAGCGAACAAATAGATAATCAACTTGCCTTTTCTCTGAAAAAAAACACAGCACAAGAAATTAAGGAGTTAGAGTAATTATGACAGATAATCTCAAGAGGAATGTAGCCTACTGTATAAACCCTAATTTTCTTTCCTTTTCAGGTGTGTTGCCTGGGCTTAACCTGTGCAAATCACACAAACTTTGGTCAGAATTTACTCCCAGAAGAATCCCATTTACTTTAGTGAGTAATGTTCACCAGAAACACCACTGCTGGACACCAAATTCCCTGTCACAATCTATCACATCTATTATTACTATTTGTTAAGCACTGACGATATGTTTGGTAACACAAGACCCAAAATAACAACAGTCCTTTCCCAGAGTTTTTACAAAGTAAACAAAACTGATACAGAGCAGCTAGGACATGCTGGGAAGCACATGGAAGGAAATTACTAGGGTTAAAGATGTGTGTGCGTCTGCCTGTGCGCTTCCTAAAATAACCCATTTGCTCCTGAGTCATGTTCAATTTAGGAGGTTAATCTTCTGTAACACTGCAAGCATTCCCAATAGCTGTTAATATCACAAATAGAAGATTATGATCTCATAGTTTAAATAAACTGGAAGAAATGAGTGATGAGAAATGATTTGCTTGCAGTAAGTTCAAGCTATGATGGTTTGTTTGCGGCACTTCTTTTTTAAAATAAACTGGTTCCTAAAAACTCCAGGCCTGCAGTCTTTAAGAAGCAACTTATACTTTAGACATTTTAACAGATGTAATGACAGGGTATTAGTAAAAATGTACAATAGGGAACAATCCTACATTGGCAGGAGACAGTCTGGATGACCTAATTGGTTTTTCCCATCTCTAATGTCTGCAATTCTGTCATTGTAATGAAACCAAAGGCAGTTTTGCCTGTGTAAAATCTGGAACACTGGGCCCTAAATTAGCAAGTTAGTCTGGAGTGTCTCTCAATTTGGGCCTGATCCAAAGCCCATTAAAGTTAGTACAAGTCTTTCCATCAGTGTCAGTGGGTTTGAGGTCAGACCATCTAGATGTTATTGGATATGAGCTGACTTTCTGTTTTATGGTATGTAAGCATAAAAAAGTTTTGTGGGGAAACTTGGGCAAATTCTGTAGTACAAATACTTAATAGGCATTTCAGTTAAGCAAGTGCAAGCAGGTGAGCCCCCCTAAATAAACCTGAGGGATGCATGGAAAAAAGTTTTTCTAGTTATATCTGTGTAATTATCCCGATTAAACCATTGCCAAATCATTGTGATGATAGATTCCTCTATCTGTCTTTATCTCATATACTTAGATGCAAGCTCTTTGGGGCAGGGACTTCTTTTTTTATTCTGTATGGCTGTGTCTACACAGGGCCACTTATTCCGGAAAATCAGCCGCTTTTCCAGAATAAGCTGCGAGCTGTCTACACTGGCCCTTGAATTTCCGGAAAAGCAACGATGCTCTTCTGTACAAAATCAGCTGCTATTCCGGAAAAACTATTCTGCTCCCGCTCGGGCATAAGTCCTTATTCTGGAACACTGTTCTGGAAAAGGGCCAGTGTAGACAGCCCAGTAGTCTTTTCCGGAAAAAAGCCCCGATCGCGAAAATGGCAATCGGGGCTCTTTTCCGGAAAAGCGCGTCTACATTGGCCACAGACGCTTTTCCGGAAAAAGGGCTGTTCCGGAAAAGCAGCCTGCCAATGTAGACTCTCCTTTTCCGGAAAAACTGAAGACGGAATAGTATTCCGTTTTAAGCAGTTCCGGAAATTCATGCCAGTGTAGACACAGCCTATTTGTATAGTGCCTAGCACA